TTCTGGATTGTCAAGCTACTAAAAATTGTCAAGCTACAAAAAATGTTCAAGTCTACCAGATACAACTGTATGATATGCAAGAAACTAGACAAAAGACTGAGTGACCACGTCATAGGAAAATTACCAGTGGACAGACTAAAGCCGTCTCCCGCCTGGACTTGTACTGCCATTGATCTATTTGGACCATTCAAAATTTGAGACGAGGTGAAGAAAGAATGACTGGAAAAACGTATGGAGTGATATTTAACTGTTTAGGCACCCGAGCATAGCACATAGATCTAGCTACAGATTATAGCACTAAGAAATTCCTCATGGTCCTGAGAAGATTTGCATCTATTCGAGGATATCCTTCAAAACTATATTCCGACAACGGACCTCAACTAGTTGCTGCAAATGAAGAACTACAAAATGTGGTACAAGGTTGGAATCAAGAGGAGCTAAAAGAATTTGGCGTGATGGAAGGATTCAAGAGGGCTTTTGCCCAAGCCAACGCACTGTGGCAAAACGGAGTGTCAGAAGGGCTAGTGAAATCAGTGAAGCAAGCAATAACAGCAGCTATAAGTGATCAAGTAATGACCTTATCAGAACTCCAAACCGTTTGCTTCGAGGTAGCAAACCTTGTAAATGAAAGACCGAATGAAATGACCGATTGGAAGACACCATACGTCACCAGATGATGGAATTTATCTCTGCCCCAATGACTTGCTACTAGACAGAGCAACATCACGAGTGGCAAGCGGACCCTTCAGAGAACCCTCCAATCCTCGTCAGCAGTTTGAATTCGTCCAGAATGTTGTGAACTACTTCTGGAAGAAATGGACAAGGGACTACTTTCCTACTTTACTAATTCGGCTAAAATGGCATACCACTCAACACAATCTTAGGGAAGGTGACTTAGAACTCATTCTAGATGCTAGCCAAATCAGAGGACAATGGAAACTTGGTGTCGTCATCAATACATTTCCTGGGGAAGATGGAAGAGTAAGAAGAGTACAAGTACAGTACAAAAATCCCAAACCAGGGGAAGCCATCAACAAGTATCATGAAGAGGCTTTGTTACCGTCGAACGAGCCATGAATAAGTTGGTTGTTCTTATACCGAAAGAGGAAGCTGACACAAAAAACTGATTGTTTTCTTTAATTTACGTGACCAACTCCTTAAGATGAACTCAGTATATTTTGAATTTTACCTTCAGTTATAATTTTTTTGTGCCTGGGGGAGTGTTTCGTTCTAACACGAAATTAATGTGTGACGTTTTTATGCAACATTATGTTACAATGCCTCACGTAATTAATGGATAAGATCATTGAAGCGAATACTACTAGTCGCAGATTTGAGAGACACCAATGGGTAGGTAAATATTGTTCCGTGTTGAAGTATATTAATCCTGGCCTTTGTCAACTATAATTCTAATCTGTTAATAGATTTCGAATACTTTCCTGTAAACAAGATGACTGAATAAACTGTGAAATATTTGGAACCTTGGTGATTCTTGTGACTAGCAGTACACCTTTCTCCTCTATCATTTCAAGTTGTAGGATGATTATAGTTTTCAAGCTGCATTTCTGACTATGTACATATTGTGTACCTACTTTGGACAAATTGCCACCTCCTGTGTATGAGGTCTAAGCTATCTTGAGCTTTTTGTTCATCATGGACAAAAAGTGCTACATTATTTGCCAAAAAGACAAATAGGCCATGGGCCAGACCAGATTTTGGTACCAGATTGAGGGACAAAAAATGAGTGCTGCCATTTGATAATACACATTGAGGTGAATAAAAATTTTTTATAACCCTTCCATAAAGGTAGCTTCCATGTAAATTTTGTCATGTGAAAAAGTCATTCAGCATGAAAACGAGACTCTTACTAAATTACTTTTTAATGTGGACTAAATGCAATATTTATCAGAAATTTTGTTTAGAAGGAGATTAAGGGCTTCGTTTAGGTGTGTTCGACATAGAAGCATTTACTCTTTTCATAGGTAATGCAAGAGTTAAAAAATTAAAAAGATGGTTTGTTTAATGAAATATAATCCTATAACTACTATTTTTCATAGCTTATGGGTAGCATTCTAAATGAAGATTCTGAAATGTTATTACAATTCCATGCATTAAAACCAACACCACATGATTTCATAGAGCCTTCCAAAAGAAAAATCAATGACAGTAAAGCTTCGAATATGACGATATTATGTAGAGACTGAAAATGTATCATTTTCCTCTTAGTTTCTTCTGGTAGGCCTGCTTGAAGTTCCAGACTGTGCTCCCTTTCAAATTGGGGATTCTGCCTTGAAGTGTTTGATTGCCTTGGAATTACCATTTTCACTTGCATACTTGTCAATTTTGGAACAAATTTCTGCCAAGTAGTGGTCGTAATTTCCTCTCTTCTTTGCTCCGGAAGAATTTTCTGTTTCAGGGTTTTTACCACAAAACTCTGAGATTCTTGTATGTGATCTTGTTTCCCTGAATAGCTTTAAAATAACATTTTGCCCGTGTTATACACTGCCGAACTGTTCTTTATTTATGGATTACTTTGAGTGTTTACTGGCAAATTTGCGTGAAACATCTGGTAGAATCTGCATTGTTGGTGATTTCAATATGCCTAGTATCAACTGGGGATATGTTATTGACTTTAGCAACTCTACTGAGGGAATCAAGTTTTGCAACCTATAAGGAATGTCTCTTGGGAATATCTCTGTGTTTATGGACACTGACACTGACACTGACGATAGTACTGCCTGCTGGTATGACATGTTTTTATCATGTGTAGATGAATTTGTTCCAAAAGTGGTAATTAAGGATGCCAATAGACCGCCATGGATTGATAGAGGTTTTATTGTTGGTTAGAAAGAAGAGTAGGACTCGACATAAAGCTAAGTTAAAATCTCCTGTCATTCTATGGGAAAGATACCCAGAGCTTAGACCACAGGTTAAGAAAATAGCTAAATTGAAAAAGTGTAGCTACCTCTCTGAGCTTGGCTGTTCCTTGAGGGACAATCCCCGTAAATGTTGGTCATATTACAAAGCAATTACCCAACCTACTAAAATTCTCGGGGTAATGAGACATGAATCAGTACAAGCTACCAGACCTATTGATTAAGCCAATTTATTCAACGTGTTTTTTCACTCAGTCTTTGTCCCACTTGACTCTAGAAGTACTGCTACCTGTCTACCCAGAATCAACTATAACATCAAACGTGAATTACGCCTTAGCCCTAGCAACATCCTTAAACAGCTTCAATCACTTGATGTCCACAAGGCTTCACTTGGACTTCCCCCTAAGTTATTACAAGCATGTGCTAATGAAATTTAACCTTTGTTATGTAGATTATTCAATTTGTCCTTAGAGCTTGGAACCTTCTCTGAGAAATGGAAAGATGCAAATCTTGTCCTTATTCATAAATGTGAGTCTAAGATGATGGTTTCAAACTACTATGGCATTTCACCTCTTGATGTTCTGTCTAAAATTTTGGAAAGACAAGTTAATGATGAGATCTTTAGCATTGTTTACCCTCATCTTACCCACTGGCAATATGATTTTTTTCCAGGTAAATCCACTGTCTCTCAACTATCCCAAGTTGTTCATCAATTTGCTAATGCTCTTGAAAGAAGACAACAAGCTGATGTTACTTATTTAAACTTTTCTAAGCCTTTTGATAGAGTATCTCACGAAAACCTCCTATTTAAGCTAGAATGTCTTGGTATTGGTGGATCTTTGTTAGCTTGGTTTAGATCATATTTATCTAGTAGAAGACACAGTTGTGTTAGCTAACAAGTCGTCTGATTTCCTCCCTATAACATCTAGAGTCCCGCAAGGGTCAATTTTGGGACCTTTACTGTTCTTGATTTTTATCAAGGATATGCCCGATGTAATTCCTAATGAAACATTGTTACCCCTCTTTGCCGATGACTCTAAGTGTTTTCCCTTAATTCTTGGGTGGGATGACAGTGACAAATTGCAGGATGACTTGAATCAAATATTTCAGTGGTTTCCTATCTGAAGAATGGAGTTTAAAGCCAAGAAGTGAAAGGTTTTAAGGGTGGCCCGTATAAGATCAATCATTGATAAAGACTATTACCTTGGTGGAACTTAGTTAGACTGTACTGCTGTTGAGAAACACCTGGGGGTTTTGGTTAGCCATGATTTGGGCTGGAATAATCACATTGATCTCATCTTTTTGAAAGCTCAAAGAATGCTTAATCTCCTTTCCTGTACGTGCAGGGACATTACTGATATTAGTACAAAGAAATTGCTTTATATTGCTTGGGTTCAGTTGCAACTTGGATATGCTAGCATGGTATGGTCACCTCATACCAAACAAAACATCAACAATTTGGAACAGGTCCAACACAGGGCTACGAGATTCATTCTTAGTAGGGATTATTTAAAGCACGAGCACCTTAGTAAATTAAATTTATTACCTTTGCAGTATTGTAGAGAAATTAATGATTTACTTTACTTTTTAAGTGTTTTAAGAATATATATAAGTTAAATATCTTCAATTATGTATCGTTTCACTCTTGTATCAAACTGTTGAGAAATGTTGACCATTTAACACTTGATGTCCCTTTTAGCAGGACTGACGTCTTTAAGAATTCTTTTTTTGTTCGAATCTGTCGCCTGTGGAATGAACTACCTCTTAGTATAAGAGAGTCTAATACCTTGTCGATCTTTCATAAGAATTTGATGGCCTCTTATCATGATAAGTTTAAAGTAGATTTTAAATTTTACTCTGTACTTTACTAAATCACTAGTCCATACATGGTAATTTTATTGATAAGCATTCATGTCGCATGTCTTTTATAACTGACATGTTACACTGACGACTTTTTAGATAACTTTATCACTTAATTAATTCTGTAGATGTAATAATTGTTGGCTTATTTTTAAGGAGTCTTGTATTCTGTTTTAAGCCTACCTCAGATTTGTCTTTCTACTCATAAATCTGAATGTGAAACTTGATTAAAGGTACTTTATCTTCTATAGCTGACACCACAGCTTGAAACTCAACAGAGCCCAGGGAAGTGTTTTCTTAGTTTGGTAAATATGAAGCAGCTTCTGAGAATTCAGCATCAGGCAAACCATTGGTGTTCGAATTGTATCCTGATTGTTCTGCTCCTTCAATTGCTTTAAAAACCATAGTGAAATTTGGACATTGTCCCTGAACAGCATGGTGACAAAACTACAATAGACTTCTTTAAGTTCTTCACAGCCTGCAGGATAGGGGATCAATGTGACAACTTTAATCCCGCCCTTCAAAATGCCACACACTAATTGCTTGAAAGTTTTAGGAAATGTATTGACCTTAACGTAACATTTGACCCCCAAGTTGCACAATGCTGTTACGAGTTCGATTGAAGAGGATCAGTAGTTTTGCTGTCAGGGTAATAAACTCAGAGATTTTGAAACACAACTGGTCAGACCTGATTCTACGAACAAACACTAAAAATAGGCACGAGTCTAAACTCCCGACACAAACTCTCTTCTGTTTCAGGGGAACAGCTAACAATAGTTTCTTACAAAAGTAACTGGAATGTTCTCATGCATGCAAAGAGAGTAACGTCAGGCAGTATGTATTGCCCAAAATCGATACCCACTGTTTTAATACAGCGAAACACACTCGCTGGACTATGAACAGTTTTTAATCGTACATCTCATTAGGAGCTAAAGAAATGGGTGCAAGAGAATCCATAAAGTATTCTTTTCAGTGTGATCTCTGTGGTTTTCACATCTAAAGAGAAGTGTGGAGCCCCATTGTTGTTGAGGTTTTGAGGAGCTGCCATGAAAGAAAAGAATCATTTTGATCACTATGCTATAGCCGCGATGAATTAATTTCATGACCCATGAATTTCTTTATAGGCCTACTTTCATGACCCATGAATTTCTTCAAAGTCTACTTTCATGACCCATTAGTTCCCCAGAAAGTCATCAGAATGAATTTCATGCCCATGAATTGCAATCAAGCAGTATTTCATGGGCTAAAAATTCATTTGTTTTGGAAGAACAAAATTAATGGGCCATGAATATTCCCTGAAATCTGTACATGGGTATATATATTTCCCATGAATTTAGTTGATGAATTCATAGTCCAAGCGGTATTAATGAGTTCATCACAGTTACTGATTTATCCACGAGCTGACTTTCATGACCCGTGGAACCGACTTGTTATGAATTTATCCAGTGAGGGAATTTTGGTGTACAGCACAAAATAAAATGGTCAAATGAAAATGTCCCTAAACATCTTAAGTGGCCTGTGTTAACGTAAAAAGTACAGGAAATCACAAATCAATGGCTAAAAACAATGGATCTTCAATTTGCTCCTTTGTTGAGACAAATGGGGTTGGAGGCAATGACCCAGATGTTTGATCCTCACTTTGATTTTTAGGTACATTTTTGCCTTTGCCATGCCTAGACGACTTTGTTGAATTTTTTTGCCTCACTGCTGGCTTTGATTGTTAGCCATGATTCTGGAAACCTGTTCAAGGCTTTCTCTTACATTCTTACAGCTGAGGAATCTTCTAGAGTTTTTCCGGTAAGGCACCTACACAGTACAGATGCTTAAGTTGCACGGCAATAGTACGCATTGCATCTACACAAAATGTGGAACAAAACAATGAAAAATCAATCACTTTCTCCCTTCAATTTGGAACTTTGAGTAGTGTGCAAATGTAACCTGAAAAAAATGCAATTTTTACCTCGTTCATAGAGTCGCCGGTTATCAGAGCCAGGCCATCTTCTCAGTCACAATGAAACGTTACCTTAATGTATTCATTGACATCCCCTTCTACAACATCATTGTCAATTTCGTGATCGCTTTCACAGAAATGACTGTTGATGTCACCTCTGGCTTTCTTGGACTCTGATGGCCTGTCGATGGCTACTTGCTTCGAATTCCAAACACTGAACAACTTTTTGCGCTGCCTTATTTTGTAAGATTACAGACACAGGGACGAGACCTCTTCGGAGTCATTTCGCCACGTCGAACACAATCACTGTAAAGACTTGCAGATAAGCCGCACCTTTTTTCCAAAAATTTGCGATCAAAATCGTAGGTGCGGCTTATCTGCGAGACCATTTGGGAAAGGTGCTGTGAATTTCCGTGAATGGACATTTTTATGGCATAATACTGGAATAAATGCTACATTACAACAACAAGAGAGTATTGGTCATTGCTTTTACGAGTTTGGTGGCTCCTAAAAGAGCCATTGATGATGAGTATAAGCTTATTTCAAGCTTACATTTCTTGCCGTTACACCTTCTTTGTTCACAGGTCTTTTAAACAGTTTATGGTCGCTTTTCTCGAACAGGAGAACCTTACACAGCATGGAATTTCCATTCCCCCACAAAGTTGTTTACAGTGTAACTGTTACTTCAAGGGTAATTGATACTCCACGAGCGAGAAAGTACCACGCTATTCTCGAGTATTCGCGCGGTAGATGGCCCACTGTTTGTTCGTCGTTGAGCACTTTGATAGCAAATTTGTTGAACTGATTACCAAA